TATAAATTATGAAGTGTCCGAACATTATGTGGTTAGGGCTCGTACTCCTGAATTTTATATATAAATTATTTGGGTGACTATTTTAGGACTTTTTATAAGCAGCCAGATTAATACGAAGGGCTTAACCCCCTCAGACACGATAAAAAGTATACCTTATACCTAAGATCATAGGCTGTAATATTGTATTATGTATATATATTATTTGGGTGGCTATTTTAACACCGTTAAGTGCCATTGTTTATCCTGGTTGGTACAAGTTTAGTGTGGGAATTATGAAAATTTTGGAAAATATTTAAAAAAATTGAAATTTTCAAAATTTTGGATATCCTGAAAATTTTGAAAATCTTTGAAATTTTTTGAAATTTTGAATAATTTAATTAAAACTAATTTTATAACAAGAATTTAAATATTAATTAATCATTATTAAAAAATTCCATAAAGACAAATACACAACTTAAATTTCATGAAGCTGTCTAATAAAGCCATTTAATACTATCACTCGCACTCACATGCATGCCTTGCTCTCGTACTCACAGCGTACCTTTTATCATGTCTGGGCGTGGTTAGGCCCTTTGGAATGGTCTGGGTAGTTACAAAAAGTCTTAAAATATATAATAATAATATATAAAATATTCAGGGGGCTTAGGCCCTTCGGATTAGTCTGGCTGCTTATAAAAGATCATAAAATAGTCCCTCAAATAATATATGTAAAATTTAGAAGTTTTACTATAACGTAGGTTCTCCCATTTTTTCTTGGCCTTTAAACCGCCAGGGGGGGGCTTGGGACCTTCGGATTGGTCTGGCTGGTTATAAAAGGTCTTAAAATAGCCAACCAAATAAAATATGTAAAATTCAGGAGTACTACTCTAACGTAGGTTCCCCCCTTTTTCCTTGACCTTTAAAGCGTCTGGGGGGGGCTTGGGCCCTTGAATTGGTCTGGCTGATTACAAAAGATCTTAAAATAGCCAATTAAATAGTATATATAAAATTTAGGAGTACTACTATAACGAAGGTTCCCCCATTTTTTCTTGACCTTTAAAGCGTCTGGGGGGGGCTTGGGCCCCTCGGATTGGTCTGGCTGCTTATAAAAGGTCTTAAAATAGTCAACCAAATAAAATATGTAAAATTCAGGAGTACTACTATAACGTAGGTTTCCCCCTTTTTTCTTAACCTTTAAAGCGTCTGGGGGGGGCTTGGGCCCCTCGGATTGGTCTGGCTGCTTACAAAAGGTCTTAAAATAATCACTCAAAAAATATATGTAAAATTCAGGAGTACTACTATAATGTAGGTTCAGCCCTTTTTTCTTGAGCTTTAAAGCGTCTGGCGGAAGTTAGGTCCCCTGGAAAGCGTCTTGCAATAATGAATGTTGGTTTTTAATAACAATGTGTAAAACATATATGAAAAGCAGCGGTATTACTTTAACGTAGACAGGTACCTTTTTTATGTACCTTTAGTGCCCGTTATCTGTAAAAGGGCCCCGCTTTCAAGCTAGCAAGTACCCATACGTTTTTAACTACATATTAGGGCATTTATTAAAAAAATTTCAGCAGTATTAAAATGACGTAGGTCTGGCGGCCCTGGGATCTTGGACTATATGGGATGTTTTAAAAATTGTTTTAATTGGTTAAGGGATAGAAAACCTGCACAACCCTTATTTGAAATACCATCAGTAAGTTTATAATGAAACATTAATGTAATGTAATTACAGTGTAATAATTACACCAAAGAACATGCAATTAACTGATTTTACATCGCAAAATTCAGTCATTTTATACGTGAAAATGCATTACTGATGACCAAATTAACATCATTACAGTTTACGTCTTCTGCTCCAACGACAGTAATACTGATTAGTTCATAAATTTACTCACTGTTTTAACAAACTGTTCTGTTTACTACTAAAAAGATTTTATTATAATATAAAATATTATTATAATATAATTACTAGGGTGTGCCAAAAAAACTCGATATTTTTTTTTCTTGCTCTCCACCCAAAATATCGTAGAATATGTCCGAACAAAAATCCTGTTAAAAGCGGAGCTCATAATTTCAATTTTAAGAGGTCCTTCATCGAATCTGAAGTTTTGCCGCTTAAATAGCACAGAAAAATGACTTTTTTACCTTATTTATTCCTGCAACCTAGGAAAATATTTTTTGTTCATAAAATCCATGACCAAATCTTACAATAATAATAATAATAATAATAATAAAATACTTTATTCATCCCAAGAAACAATGAGAACTTGTTTATAGAGGGCATCTCTATATACACGATACATATTTAATATTGAATACAATTTCAAGATTTGAACTTAACTGACTACATACATCTATTACCATTATCACATTTATAAATATCACATTTCAGTTACAATCTGTACAGATATACTAACAAAATAAATAAACTTATTATACAAACACACTTATGCTTATGCTTATTATAACATATGTACATGTTGGATACATGCATCCAACATACTCCACAAACATTTATATTTATCTTGGATGAAAGAAATTTTTTAAAGCCTTAACATTATTTAAGGATTTGACATCGTCAGGCAAGGTGTTATATGTAATTAAGCCTCTATACAAAATAGAGTTTTGTCCATACCTGGAGCCAATTTGTATCAAGTCTAGCATTAAATTTGGAGGAAAAAATCTTATTAAGCCGAATTTCTATTTTTATTATTTGATTTTTACAGAGCTTTAAATTTAAAATTTTACGTTGTTTGCCTTTTTAAGCTAAACTATTGAAGTTGGACGAAAAAGTCAAATGGCAATTTTTTAGCTTGTCTGATGGACCACAAAAAAGTTCAAGCAATTTTTGTGCTGGAGATTTCTTTCGAGATTTATTTACCTGGACTTTCTGTCAATTTTTGTATAAATTTTCAATTTTTAAAATTGAACAATGTGAGTTATTTGTAGGCAAGCTAAATTTACTCCACACTTTTATAACCTTACTCAAAACAATTTTTTGCACTATTACGGATAATAAAGTTTTCGGTGCGATGTTTATAATAAAACAAACACAAAACATCACGATTTGAAGGTAATTTCAAATTGCTTAAGGGTTTTATTTCAAAATCTACCAAGTTCATAAACTTTCGTTGACTTGTTTTATTCGACATTGTTTAACAGTGAACAAGTTTTATTATAGTTGTATTAATTACGTATAAAAAACTATCCTCAATTAAGTACTAATTACAGCAGAAGACAATAGAGCTCACTAATTGATTTTATCGAGCGACAAATTTACCGATATCAAAAGAAAAAATTAATACTGCAAGGGCGCTGTTAGTAAATTCTTTGGGAAATTTAAATTTGAATTTAAATATCAACAAAGTTATTATAAGTAAACCGTGTTTTACAATATGTGTACCTATCAAGCTTGAAATAAATGAAATAATGTACTGAATGTAATAATTAGATTCAAAATTTTTTGTATGATAATAGTAAGATATTATTATTAGTATTTTAAGCGATAATTCACTGTAAACAATGGAATAAGACATAAAATTCTTATAAAATTTTGTATCTATTGTCAATTGTTTATCTGATTTACCTAAAAAAACATCGAAATAAGCTTAAATAAGTCTGTAACTTTTAATGGTTGACAGTACATCAAATTTAACTAGGACAATTTTTCCGAAAATTCAATTTTTTTTATAATTCTCTATTGACTTTTTGTGCTAACATTAATATTTCACTGACAAAAAGTTAATAATACAAAAATGATGACTTTATACGCCTGTAACTTTTAGAATATTGACGATACAAAAAATTCGCCTTAAACGTTTTTGTGGTCCATCAGACAAGCTATAAAATTGCCATTTGAATTTTTCGTCTAACTTTAATAGTTTGGCTGAAAAAGGCAAAAAACGTAAAATTTTAAATTTAAAGCTCTGTAAAAAATCAAATAATGAAAATAGAAATTCGGCTTAATAAGATTTTTTTGTCCAAATTTAATGCTTTGTAAGAATTATTCATGGATTTTATGGAAAAAAAATTCTTCCTAGGTTGCAAGAATAAATAAGGTAAAAAAGTCAGTTTTCTGTGTTATTTAAGCGGCAAAACTTCAGATTCGATGAAGGACCTCTTAAAATTGAAATTATGAGCTCCGCTTTTAACAGAATATTTGTTCGGACATATTCTACGATATTTTGAGTGGAGAGCAAGAAAAAAAATATCGAGTTTTTTTGGCACACCCTAATAATTACATTATAATCTTCTTATTTACGACATTGATAAAGGTAAACATTGGTTTGATGATTGACGCATGCACAAAATAACAGAGGTTAAAAAGCTCATAATCTTCTTAATAATAATGTTTAAATTAATTAAAACATGACTAAATTTAAAATTTTGTCTTGGTTTTTAGAAACATACAAAAATAATCAATACAATATTTGTTAAATATTATAACCCAGACAGCACAAATGTCCAGTAGATATCCACTGGATATCCATTGGATATCCCAAATCCATGGGATATCCATTAGATATATAATGGAAATATTATGGATATGTGTGCCCTCTGGGAAGGCAACTCAGTAATATTATATTACAATACACAATTGAATTTAAAATTTTGTCTTGGATTTTAGAAACGTAAAAAAATAATCAATACAATATTTGTAAAATATTATAAGGCAACCCAGTATACTATTTTATATTATTTTACATTAGGTATACCCACCTAATGTAAAATAAGGCTCATTTCATGAATTTTGACTTAATAAAAAGAAAGTTGATTGATATTGCATGATCGAATGGGAGGATCAGCTCAGATTTCAATAGAAACGGGAAAATAATTACAAAAGCATCCGTTTTTGGCTTGATTTTTTTGTGACAATACTTTCCCTTAAACTTAGTATGCAGTGTTCCATGCAGCATCCAACTTGTTAAATAAGTGAATTAATTTCTGCCAACCCTGCTGATAATTTAAAAATGGTTATGAAATATAAAGTCATCTAACTAATCTATTTTATAAATGTTACTTACCAATAGCTTTCTGAAAATTTTTACCAAAAACAGCAATTTGCCCATCATATCTGGAACCAATAGGCTCCGCTAACTCTTCAGTTATTTCTTCGGGTTCATCTGACTCTAAACATTCAATGGCATCAAAATATAACCATTGATAAATTGGATGAAACTTCCCAGAGCATGCCTTCATTACTTCTTGGGCCACAATTCCACCAATAGTGGCATTCATAGGGTTTAAATCTCCAGAAGAAATTTTAGAAAATAGTTCAAGTAATTTGGAATCAATTTCAATATTTTGTTTATTAATTGACTTTGCAATATTTAGGAATTCTGAAGCATCACTTGGGCTCCAAGGTGTTGGGGTTCTAGAATGTGTTTCAATAAATTCATGCAATGCCTGGAAGGCAAGATGTAACTGTGTAGGGCTATCAAATTTAGCAAAATCACTTATTATGAAATCAGGATTTTCCAAGGATTCAGTAAGTGATTTAAAATTTACAACCTTAGGCATTTTAACTTGAGTGGCAATTCCACCATGCTCATATTTAGAAAATTTGGTTGTGTCTCCAATTACAAATGTGTATGGACCTAACACTTTAATTTTAATAGGGTTGCAGTTATTTAATTCAGTTATTCCTTTAACTTCTGAAAATGTAATGTAATCCCCATCTTCCATGCCATGTCTAGTATCATCAATGCATGTAACAATAGCTTCTTTTTCTGATGATATATCAGCAACCATGGCGGATACAGGAGGTTCCCCATTTATATCCACAACAGTAAATGATTCTCCAAAGTCACAGAAAACTTGAGCAAATAGCCCACGAGTATCAGCAATAATCAAGGCTATATTATTAGAATGTGTTATTTTACTAATAAGCAACTGTTCTTTTAAGCTACTAGTTGTTAAAACAATAACTCTAAATTTTAAGATGTATGATTCATCTAATTTACCAGTGTATGCTGTTGTTGGAACATAAGTGTTTAATTCAGATAATGATTTACAACAAGCTTTGGCTCTGTTTTTACCAACATCCGATTCATTGAAATAAAATTGTGATGATAAATCAGAAATAGTACAAACTGCCTCGTCATGTAAAGTCACTGACTTTACACCTCCAAGAATAACGTTTTTTGCAATCTCTACTCCTAATCCCCCCAAACCGGATATAAGAACATCACTGGAAGCCATGCGTCGCATAGCATCGTGTCCCAAAACATAAAGTTGACGAGAATATAGCCCCTCATCAATGTCACCGGCTTGTGACGATCCTTCGGCTCCATTATTCGCCATGTCTGAGGAAAACGATGACAATTCTAGCTTCCTCTTCTTGGCAGGGGGATCGACGGAACTATCTACGATTTCAGCACTAGACATCGGACACAAAAAAACACAGTTTTTAAAAATCCCCACTTAATTAAATTGTCACTTTCATTAGAACATTAGTTAATAAAATTATGCCGCTTTTAAGCCAGCTTCGTAATGATCGAACAAAGGAGCTTAGAACGCATAGAACGCATGTTGCCATGCGCATTAATAATTTGTGACCAACGTTACAACTAAAAAATATATATATTTTCCATATCTCGTCTATGATCTTTCCCATATTCATACATTTAGTTTTTGTCCAATATGTGCCTATTTTAAAATATTTGTATGCTCAACATTTCAAACATCGTCGATCATTGCATCAAAATGGAGTTTATGCCTTTGCGTCGAAGAAGAATTAGACAATGTTGTCACCAAAATCATGTTTTGTATTTGTTCAAATTGTCAGAGACAATTGTCAAAATAAAAATTATAGTACCCTTTTTTGGTCCAAACCTAACCTAACCTATTTTTTGGTTAGGATATTTGTTAACGTTTAAGCAGGATTTATAGTTCTAAAAAGTAAGAGTAGCAGTAGCAGTAAGCCAGTATTGCCAATATAATAATATAATAAAATGTCTTAATAAATTTCTGCAATGTGATTGGCTGGAGTAGGAGTAGCAGCAAGAAAAGTTAAAACTTGGCCATCTCTTACGCCAACGACCTTGGTTGCTACTGAACCCTACTCCAGCCATTCACATTGCAGCATTTATATTATTATATTGGCAACACTGGCTTACTGCTACTGCTACTCCTACTTTTTAGAACTATAGGTGAGTTCGGGATTGCTACACCGTTCACACCGTGCGCACTTAGCAGTTCGGGTATGCAATTAATGTAAAAAGTGTGATTGTAATTGCGTTCGGGTATTTTAGTGTGGTGTGAACGGTGTTTGCACCAAACGCCCCGACTTGTGAGCTAGGGCTTTGGTGCGGGCATGCGCTTTAGGTAGGTATTACATTTTTGAATTAAAGGTTTACCCATGGAACAACACAACAACAGGTGTTGTTCTATGGTTTTAACCTTACAAATTGAAAGTTACAATTGTTAACAATTCTGTGATAATAACAACGGTGATACCTACATAATTTTGCTATAATTTGCTACATAATTTTGCTATAATTCCCGAGCCATATTAATAATTGGTAGTAGCAAACCAGGTAATCGATGGCGATGGAAATTCATTGCAATCTTTTAAGGTTAAGTTATTTATCTATGGTTATGAATCTGTCAAATATCACACCATAAAAACACCGAAGCGTTCGGGTTGCGAATCATAGGTTTCTCTTGCGAATGCACTTTTAACTCCCTACTCCAACACTACACCGCACTACACTTACACCAAACCGCAATCCCGAACTCACCTTATAAAGCAGCGTTACCAACCCTACGGATTTTTCCGTAGATCTACGGATTTTAAGGGTCATTAACGGATAACCGGATTTTGTCTGAAAATCTACGGATATTCGGACATTATCGCATAATTCATAATTACTTGATATTTTATGTATTAAAACCTGCGACAAGTAAAAAATTGCTTGAACCCCTTTTTATATTTTCTAATTATTTCGCTCCGTCCAGTAAACGGCAGGTATAAAACCTTGCACTGAACGTACTCATGGAACGTTTCATGGAACGCACTCATTAGTTTAGGAATTTTGTTTGTTACCAGCAGGTTACCAGAAAAAGTGCTGTGTGTCAAAAAGATGCTGTGAAAAAAATGGCAACTAAAGTTTTAAACTTGTTTTGGTATCTATTTACATTTAAAAGTTTTTTATACATGTATTACACTATTAGTATCTAATTACATTGTTTATAAATATATGAATTTATGAAATGTGTAAATCTTAAAAGCGCCAAGCACTATAGTGCTACTATAGTATACTAAGAAAGCGCCACCTTGCGCTAAATAACTAAACAGCTGATAAATATTGAGTACCAATCAAAATTTTTAGTGAAAATTCGTAAATCTATCCAAGTTTCTAAGTCGACTTAGAAACTTGGATAGATTTACGAATTTTCACTAAAAATTTTGATTGGTACTCAATATTTATCAGCTGTTTAGCGATCGCCGCGGTGCCTGCCACCTCTGATCCCTGGTACGGATAAATGTCCGGATTTTACCCTTCACCCACGGATTTCTACGGATATTTGACTAGAAAACTCAGGATTTTTCAAACGAAAAGGTTGGCAACGCTGCTATAAAGCTGGATTTATAGTTTTAAAGGTAACGGTAGAGGCAGCGGTAACTATTAACCAAGGTTAAGTGCTCATTCATAATGGACGTAACCATAAGATGCCCGTAAACGTAAACGTAAACATAATATCACCATAATTTGTACGTAACGATGAGTTGTGTTTATAATGAACGTATGGCTTATGTATATATTAATAAGGCGCGCATGTCCAAGTTCACTAAAATGGCAGCATTGACAGATTTCGTCTAATTATTATGTCTTAAAACTTAAAAGTTTTAAGGCATAATAATTATAATTATTATAAATATAAATTAAGTTAAAACTATCAGTGTTATTATAATTATTAGTGTAATGAGCGATATATACGTTGGCAAAGAGAAGAAAAAAAGGGCGAATGTCGTCGAATAATACTCAAACTAAAACTTTAGGATAATGAATGGTTCTTTAGATTGTTTGTTCTGTGGATACACCAGAATACACTTGAAAAAGATCTGTCATCTGTTTGCATGGCTACTACCCTGATTGCTACCAACAATGTTCTAGTGAAATCATGAAAGTTACTAAAATTCACACATAAGAAACCCGTAAAGTTGAGATGATTTCAACTTTACGTATTTTTTACGGTCACCCATAAGATCTTATGTTCGAACGTAAAACGTAAAAATTACGGCTATTCATTATAAACAGGCACACTGGTTTTGTTAATATTCAACTTTACGTTTTACGTATTTCTTACGGGCATCTTATGGTTACGTCCATTATGAATGAGCACTTAAGGTGTATGTATCTTGTTAGTTACGTTATGATTATAATCCGTACCACACTGGGGAAAGTGGTATAGCCAAGGTCAAATCATATTGTGACCGTGAATAAAGGTTCATGAATAATGGCTCGGTCAATGCGCATGTCACATGGTTTGCATGCATTGTTTTTAAAATTTAAACTTCTTCTTCTTCTTCTTCTTCTTCTTCAAGTTGGGCGGACTTACGGCTCAACCACCGCCCTTTTGGTCGTGGACAAAAATCCTTATTAACCAGCTACTAGTTTTAACGTCCAATGATTTCAGAAGAACCAAAAACCATTGGACAACGGTTGTCTAACAAACACGTGGACACAAATAGGTTATGTAACCTTGAAATTTTAAATGTTCATATAAATTCCTCTATTCCTTTAAAAAAGGACAAAACGAAGAATATTATCTAGGACTGGAATCCGGTTTTGTCCTCCCTGAGTCAAAGTCAACTATTTTTCACACTTTTTCATGGAGCAATGCAGGAGCGATACGCTTCTCACCGAGGACAAAATCGAAATTTAAACTAGGGTACCTGTCATATTTGTTAGGTTAAGTTTAAGTTTGTTTTCTTATAAACTTATGTTCTGTGCTTATAAATACTGTGAGTAAATAGTGACAGTGAATAATTTTAAATATGGCTAGTGATATAAGAAAATGCGTTGTCCCTTACTGCAAAAAAGTGCAAGATAAACGGCATTATTTTCCAACTATGGAATCTCAACTAGACATTTTTAACATGTGGGTAAAAAAATATAAACATCCAAATTAAACCAGATGAGTAAAGAGGAAATAATTAAAAAACGATCCCTATTGTAAATGACCAATAGAAACCAATAAAAAATAAGTAATTGGTTTGAATTGGTTTTAAATGGTTTGAAATGTGTTTTGGCGCTATGAATCACCAATTCATTCCAGTTGAATTCCTATTGGTAATTTCCAATGAAGTCAGCGGCTTGAATTGGGAAATACCAATAGAATCCAATAAAAAATAAGCAATTGGTTTGAATTGGTTTGAAATGTGTTTTGGCGCTATGAATCACCAATTCATTCCAGTTGAATTCCTATTGGTAATTTCCAATGAAGTCAGCGGATTGAATTGGAAAATACCAATCCATGCCTACGCTTGTCTCTATTGGCTAAATCCAATAGAAATGCACATGGAATGAATTGGTAATTCATAGCACCAAACCCATTCCAACCAATTTAAACCAATTAATTTTTTAAAATTTGGATTAGAAAATACCTACCAGTTTATTTTTCATTCAAAAATAATTTTAGATCCCAGAAGGATAACCGGGTAAAAACCAGAATTCATTTTTTACAGAAGAGACAAAAAATTTATTGTTACTAAGTAATTTTATTTATTTATTTTTTTTTTGTGATATATGTATGTATTAATACATATAACTTACTATCGCCTAAATCCCTAAATCTTACACAATGTAATGTTACACATATAAACATTTTTTTAATATATAAGTAGACTACTAACACTAGGCACTTAACACTGAAATGTAATGTTACACATATAAACATTTTTTATTATATAAGTATACTTCTAGTCTATAGACTACTAACACTAGGCACTTAACACTGAAATCGACTAATAAAATAAACCGCTAATAAATGGCGTCCAAAGACGTTTTTTCTTTATGATGGCGTCTCAACCTCGTTGATTTTGCGCAGCTACACGAGAGCCCTCTTGCGATATTTGTATTGTATTGGGAATAACCAATTAGCAGATTTTTCGAATCTTACACTGGGAATGCCCAATTGAATTCAATTGGAAATTACCTATAGGTAGCTTTATCCAATCGAAACCAATAAAAACCATTAGAATCCTAACTGGTATTTTCCATCATGGAAAATACCAGTAAAAACCAATTTCTGTTTTATATCGCGCCCAATTAAATCCAGTAAGTCCAATTCAGACCCATTGATACCAACCAATACTTCAATTGGTTTCTACAGGAATTAATCGGTCATTTACAACAGGGATATGTATTGTGTCACAATCACATATTTAGATATAAATCATAGATAATAAATCATGATATAAATCACATATGTGGTCATAATCATTTCAAAAAAGGAGTGTGTCGTGACCATAGAAGAAGTCTACCAGTAGATGGCATCTACTAGATGCTGTTCCAACTTTAAATCTCCC